GGGACTGTGCTTTGTTACTTGTCGACCTTGAGTTTGTCAGCCTCAGCAGCTGTCTGAGTGAAGAAAAGCCTCCAGCATCAGTGGGCAGAGAGCAGGAGGCAGAGCTGAAGCCCAAGGTTGAAGGGCTTTCACCCAGCCCCTAGAGCCTGGCACTTTGACCTCAGCCTTAAAGCCTCCAAACTGTAAGAGAATAAACTCCTGTGTGTTCAAGCCATCCCATTTGTGTTATATTTCTGTTAGAACAGCACTAGGAACACTGGTGGCATAGTGCATAAGGTATTTGACTGCTAACTAGAAGACAGGGTTAAAACCTACCAGCTGCTCTATGGGAGGAAGATGGGGCAATCTACTTCTGCAGTGATAACTCCTTGGGAACCCAAGGGTAGGTAGCTATGAGGTGCATCGGACTCAACAGCAGTAAGTTTGGTTTTTTGGTTTACCACATGATATGAATGGTAGTGAGCAGCTTATTCCTGTGAAAAGCTGGGGCTCATTCCCACTGAGAGCTTCTGGAAAACATGCTTCTCACTGAAGGAGAAAAAGCCAGCATTTATTCACAACTCCCATCTATTGATCCACGGCTGCTTCTGAGACTGTAACTATCCTACATTGGCCTGTCCAGAACTTGCTTCTTCATCTAGAGAAAATCCTGAGGCAGAGTCCCAGCCGCTTGCTATAAGAAAGCATCCTTCTATACTAGAATGGAGAGCACTGAGCAAATAAAGGTGGGACCCCTGAAGTCATCTGCCACAGTATGCTTTTCCTGCAGAGAACAATTGACATCTCAGGATGACAGTTCAAGGTGGAAAAATAATGAGACACCATGCACTTGTATTTCTATGACTGGAAAAATATGATTTATTTAAGAAGCAGGAGAAAATTTGGCAGGGAACAAATATTTTAATTGGGGTGACATGTTAGTTGGCAGATTTCAGAGGAAAGTCAAAGTTTATGCTGATTTGGGCAAGAGAGAGCAATATGGGGGAGGCAGTGTATTTGGAGGCCAAATTCAGTCTAAGAATGAGTGGCACTGAGGTTTCACAGTGGGCTGCACATGATTCAGCTCACAGGTGGACGACAAGAAGATTGTTGATGAAAAGCAGGTGGACTCAGGTCAGAGTGCTCAGCAGCAAGAAGCACTAGAGCAGGTTGGGCGGCAGCAGGTGGTTTGGCAGCAGACTGGGCGGCAGCAACTGGACACACAGCAGCTGGGGCGGCAGCAGGTGGTCTGGCAGCAGACTGGGCGGCAACAGCTGGAGATGCAGCAGGTTGGTCTGCAGCAACTGGAACCACAGCTGCTAGAACCACAGCAGGAAGGGCGGCAGCAGCTGGAAACGCAGCAGCTGGGGTGGCAGCAGGTGGGCTGACAGCAGACAGACTGGCAGCACTGAGGCCTGCAGCAACTGGACACACAGCAGCTGGGCTTGCAGCAGGTGGTCTGGCAGCACACAGACTGGCAGCACTGAGGCTTACAGCAGCTGGATACACAACAGGTGGGGTGGCAGCAGGTGGTCTGGCAGCAGACTGGGCGGCAGCAGCTGGAGATGCAGCAGGTTGGCCTGCAGCAGCTCGAGCCACAGCTGCTAGAACCGCAGCAGGAGGGTCGGCAGCAGCTGGAAATGCAGCAAGTTGGCCTGCAGCAGGGGGTCTGACAGCAGCTGGGTTGGCAGCAGGTGGTTCTGCAGCAGGTGGGCTGGCAGCAGCTGGGTTGGCAGCAGGTCTCCTGGGAGAGGCCTTGACCACAGCCCTGGTCGGAGCAGACAGAGCCACAACAGGAGTTGACCATGGTGTCAGAGGGTGGAAGAGGTTCTGGGTGTGTTTCCAGGAGAGTGAAGTTCTTGAGTCTGGAAGTTTCCTCACCCCATGTCCCCTTTTATACTCTGCCAAGGGGCTGCTGGCATCAAGTATGATACTCTTCCTTGTAATTGTCCTAATAAATAGGTAATTATCAAATCAGGCAAGTTTGTTTTCCTCGTTCAGTTTTTCAAGATAGATGGAAAACACTGTTTCCTTTCCTGCTGTGCTTTTCGTGCTTTAGTGTCCTCTAAGAAAGCTGTCACATGTCACATGATATTCTGCCTCTATATGTGTCAGTCTCAATTTGCATAGCACATCATTCAAGTGACAGTGATTCTTATAGTCCCACAATTCTTTTTGGTGACTGGGTGCATCAAACTACATTTTAGTCTGATGTCTCATTCCTTGTGGTCCAGGTGGGCAAAGAAGGTCTGAGTGTATTACCTGTGAAATGGGATCACAGGCATTTGAATCAGAAGACTATGAGGTCATACCCCTCCCATATTCTCGATTTTTGATGGGAACTGTCAAGAAGGAAAACTAACTCATAAATTGTGATGTTTCTTTTTCTTCAGAAACAAACCTCCAAAACTGTGTTTTAGGACCTCTTTGAAGGGGCACTGGTTTCATACTGCTTAAATCACTCATATGCTAACCCAAAAGTGGACAACATGAACCCACCAGCTGATCCACAGGATGAAGATCTACAAGTCTACTTCATAAAGATAGCCTTGGAAACCCTATGTGGTAATTCTACTCTGTCCTATAAGGGCCCATGAGTTGAAATCACCTTGACTGCAGTGGGCTTCTTTGGGTGCGTGAAGATGGCTGCCGAGATAGCCAGCAACTGTCTGTAAAGTTCACCCTTGACTCTGATCTGTGAAGCAGATTTTTCTTCTGATTCTGACTAACGCTCTTTCAGGTTTTCACAAGGCGTATGGAGTCATACACACTTCTTCCAAGTTTTCTTGCGAACCCAAGTTAACTTGCCCAGAGTCCTTGCCTATTATTCTAATTTATATCTCTGATCAGTTCCTGGGCTCTGAAGGTGCCCAGCACAGTCTTTTGCTCCATTATTCAAGGTGTTGATCAGATTTCATCCTTTAAGCTTTTCTCCTCAAGAAAGGAGAGAGAAAACAGATATCTAGATTGAAGGAGGAGAAGGCAGGCCTAATCCTCACTTAGCACTCAGAAACATCTGAGAAATGCATTTAATTCCAGGCTACTAAAGAAGAATTGGGGAGCTTTGGTAGCATAGTACCTAAGGCACTTGACTGCTAACCAGAAGGCCGGTGGTTCAAACCCACCATCCACTCCTCAGAAGGAAGGTTGAACAATCTACTTCCATAGTGATACTGCCTTGGAAACCCAAGGAGGGGTTGCTATGAGTCGGAGCTGACTTGATGGCACATAACAAAAACAACAACAAAGAAGAATTTAGATAAATTATGGAATATTAAAAGTAAAGTTGATGTGATGATGATGTCATAATTAAGGAGTAGTAGGTGAAAAAACTTCGGAAATTTAGAGTAGAGACAACCAAAGCCAAAAATACCAGTACAGCATGGATGTGCTGTATGTGAGGGATTGGACTTGTCCTATATGGCTGCAATGGGCTGGTCCAGGACAAGTGGGTAGCTCACAGACAGAAACAAACTTTGACTCACCATGGTGAAGATCTTTTATGGAACAGGCTGACTCCATCAAAAGTCAGTGGAGTAGTTTAAGTGGAAGCTGATGTGGCAATGGAAGACTTAAGAATGAGATGGAGGTGATTGAATGAAATGGCTTTGCAGATCCCTTTTTGCACTGAGGCACTTAGAAGTCTAATAAACTGAACTCCTTATAATATGCTCTTGTTCATAGGCAGTTTGTACTCCCACTTTGGTCCTGATTTCCAGTTTCCCACAATCAGGATGACAAGAAGATGGGCTTCTGATTGAACCTTTCCTTGGAGGTTTGACTAGCACTCAAACCCTGCATTGTATGTTGACTTTGATGAATCTGGATGCAAATTGTACTGGGAAGGTGCTGAACCTCCTCCTTCATCACAGGGAGATAAGGGAACAAAAGTGGTTTCCAAGTTGTCTGGCAAAGTGAGGCCCCTTATAGAGTATGACAACAACTATAATATTTCTATAAGATCTTGTATTTGAAAGAAAGAGTGGTATCCCCGATAATCCCCAATGCATGATACCTACTGATGGACTCAGTATAGTTTAATTTACATTAACAGGTTTCTTTTTTCTGCTCTTGATTTCTGTGTGTGATGCATACAATAGTTTTAAAATTGTGTTTAGAAATTCCTCATGATTTCTAGGACCTTAATAGTTTTATTATTATATCGAGTTTTTCATCAGACTGAAATCTATCTTGGTTTAGTAAGTGAAGTAGTGTCTCTCCCTTCCTTCCCTTCTTTATTCTAGAAGTTACCCAGCTGTCCTATGTTGTGTTTTTGTTAGATGCCATCGAGTCATTTCTGACTCATAGTGGTGCCATGTGTAACAGAATGAAACGTTGCCTGGTCTGTGACATCCTTACAATCGTGTTTGTGTTTGAGCCTGTTATTGAAGCCACTGGGTCAATCCATCTCACGGAAGGTTTTCCTTTTTCTCAGCATGATGGTCTTCTCCAGGGATGTGTCCCTCCTGATAACGCGTCCAAAGGAAACAAAACAAAGTCACACTATCCTCGCTTCTATGGAACATTCTGGTTGTACTCCTTCCAAGACACATTTGTTCATTTTTCTGGTAGTCTATGGTATACTCGATTTCTTTCCCAACACTGTAATTCAAATGTGTAAATTCTTTGTCAGCCTTCCTTTTTCAATGTCCAGGTTTCACATATGTATGTGGAGACTGAAAATTCAATGGCCTGAGTCATGCACTCCTTAGTCATCAAAGTGACATCTTTGCTTTTTCACACTTTAAAGGGATCTTTTGCAGCACATTTGCCCAATGCAATACATTGTTTGATTTCGTGACTGCTTCCATAGGTGTTGATTGTGGGCTCAAGTAAAAGGAAATTCCTGACAACTTCATTATTTTCTCCATTTATCATGATATTCCCATTGGTCCAGTTGTGAGGATTTTGTTTCTTTTATGTTGATGTGTAATCCATACTGAAGGCTGTACGTAGTCTTGGATCTTCATCAGTAAGTGCTTCAAGTCCTCTTTGTTCTCAGCAAGCAAGGTTGTGTCATGTGCACATATCAAGTTGTTATTGAGTCTTCCTCCAAGCTGATCCCATGCTATTGTTCATATACACCAGCTTCTTGGATTACTTGCTCAGCATACAGATTGAATAAGTGTTCTGGTTACCTAGTGCCACTCTGACAAGAATGTACCACAAATAGGATGGTCTTAACAAACAGGAGTTTATTCTCTTACCATTTGCAGGCTTAAAGTCCAAGATCAAAGTGCCATGCTCTAGGGTCTGGTGAAAGCCCCTCAACCTTGGGGTCCAGATCTGCCTCCTGCTCCCAGACACTGGAGCTAGAGGTGTTTGTGCACTCAGACATCTGCTGGCTGCTGATGCTGACAAACCCAAGGTTGACAAGTAAAAAAACACAGTCCCGATGTTACCAAACCACATGGCAGGCCATTAATTTAAGTCTATTGTAAGTTCTAAGATGGCAGAGCATGGCAGGCTGCTGAGCAACGACACAGTTACATGGAGGGTCCAAGTGTGCCATAAGATAGAGACTATCCTCAAGGTTTCTCCTTTTATACAGGAAGCAGACCACATCCCAAAGGCAGCTACTCAGCTGCTTGTGGTAGATCCCACCATGGAGTTGATTGCCAGTCTCATCATGGGGAATAACTACCACAGCTGCCCAGCCACTCAACCAGCCCAGCCAAGTTGACATACAAATTTAACTACCACAATAAGTATGGGGAAAGGATACAACCCATATGCACACCTTTTCCAAATTTAAACCATGTTGTATCCCCTTGGTCTGTTGAAATGACTGCCTCTTGGTTTGTACACAGGTTCCACATGAGCACAATTAAGTATTTTGGAATCCCCATTCTTTGCAACAGTATTTGTAATTTGTTATACAGTTGAATGCTTTGCGTAGTCGATAAAATACAGGTTTCTTGTGTTCTCTGCTTTCAGCCAAGATCCATCTGACATTAGCAACTATTTCCCGTATTAGGTCCTCTTCTGAATCAAGCTTGAATTTCTGACAGTTCCCTATTGATGCATGATGGTAGCTGTTTATGAATTATCTTGAGAAAAATTTTGCTTGCATGTGATATTAATGATATTGTTTGATAACTTCTGCATTCCATTGGACCTGCTTCAGAATGGGCAAAAATATGGATCTCTTCCAGTCAATTGGCTACGTAGCTATCTTCCAAATTTCTTGGCACAGTTGAGTCAGTGTTTCCAGTGTTGTATGTTTATTGAAGCATCCTAATTGGATTCCATGTGTTTCTGGAGGCTTGTTTTTACCAATGCCTTTAGTTTATCAAGAACACCACATACGGTGGAAATAAAAGATCATTTTAAAAAAGGAAAGAAGGAAAAGACTAAAATGAATGTCAGAAGAGACTCTGAAATTGGTTCTTGAACATAGAATAACTAAAGCGATGGAAGTGATGAAGTAAAAGAGCTGGATAGATTTCAAAGGGTTTTAAAGTGTTATAATGAAATGTACAAAGAGTTAGAGTTAGGAAACCAAAAAGGAAGAACATGCTCAGCATTTCTCAAACTGAAAGAACTGAAGAAAATTCCAAGCCTCAAGTTGTAATACTTGAGTTGAAGGATTCCATGGGCAAAATACTGAACAACACAGCAAGCATCAAAAGAAGATGGAAGGAACACATGGGAACTGTACCAAAATGAAATGGTTGACATTCAGCCACTTCAGGAGGTAGTATAAGATCAAGAACAAGTGATACTCAAGGAAGAAGTCCAAGCTATGGTTGTCCTATACCATTTGTTAAATAATTCTCCCTTTTTATACTAATTTTAAGCTGACAC